TACGATTCGTATTGTGATATGAATGATGAAAACCCACAATCTCAATGTGTTCTGATTTATCCTTACATACAAAATGAGGAATAATTTCTATGCATTTATTGTTTTGTTTTTTTATATTTTCATTTTCCTATTTTTTAATTTTTAAAAAGAATGTTTTTAAAAAAAAACAAATTCTTATTCCTATAATTTTTTTGTATACTTGTTTGGTATTCTTTATCTTTTTATTTCCTTTTTTTATTTATCATTTCTATTTTTCTTTTCACTTTTATATTTTTCTTTTTTTTCACCATCTATATCTTTTTACTTTTTTATTCATTTTTGTATTATATATATATATATATATATATATATATATATATATATAATGTCTTGTTTTATTTATGTAGATTTCTTTAATTCTATTTATTTTTTCGGGTCTACTGTTTTTATTTTGCCTTTAAAATTTTATTATTTTTTTGCATTTTTTATATTTTTTATTTTCTTTTTCCTTCATATCTTCTCTTTTTTTTTTTTTTAATAAATATTTTTAGGCTATCCCCATTATGTGACAGACATACAATAATTTGAACTATTTTTGATATAGGAGCAACCTGTCTCTAAAGCTCTTCCAATATGGTTGATCTGTTTAAATTTCATATGTAGTAATTTCTGGGTTTTGTGTTGGAACCCTCTCTTATAATTGTGCTAGCATGTCAGCTGCACCCGCTCCAGCTACCGAAACTTAGGGTGGGAGCTGTGTAACTTTGACCAAACTTGCGTGATTGTTATCTTTTTAGCACATCTCGGTTCCCCTTATGAACTATGGGTTATACACTGTAGGCTTTCTGGCCATTTCAGAAATCTGGAAGGAAAATGAAGGGGCTGTTATCTCAGGCCTTAACCCAAATACAGCCTAGGAAAGGTTTGCTATGGTATTTTCTGGGTTTATATTTTTCATTGTCTATAGATGGTAACTCCTTTTGCTGAACTTTAACTGACTTTGAGCATATTAGTGTTATTTTTTCATTATATGATATGCACATATCTGGTGTTGTTGGTTGCTAAGGAAACCAGACACTGTAGCGGATCCAGGGTAACCTGACTGGTTACCTCCGCTTATTCCCTTCTTTCAGCCAGTCAGGAACCAGTTAGAGAATAAGGAGACCAATTTCCCCCCAGTAACCGGACGACACAGTGTCTCTGGAGGTACAACACAAATGACTGTTTATTATGTTACACATGGTTTTACAGACACAAACTCCTACACAAAACAACAGGGATTTAAATCCCAAGAAGCTGAAGAGGGAGGAAGGACAAACTTCGGGTTAAACTGGGCTGGTAGTGTTTCTGTGGCAACATCCTGCTGTGACAGGAAAAGGGAGGGTGAGGGAAGGGGGTAGGGGTACAGGCAGACACTACATTCACAAAAGGAAGGGAGAGGGGAGAGGCACAGCGAAATACATTTCACCCCCCTTTTTTGACCCACAGCTGCATGTACAGGCACAATACACAAAATACATAGAAATACAAGTGCCATGCTTGTTCAATTAACGACCACTGGTTCCATTCAGATGGGAAGTACTCATCCCACCAGTTGTAGGTATGACCGACTGGTAACCTCCACTAATTCCCTTCCTTCAACCGGTCGGGAACCAGTTAGAGAATAAGGAGACCCATTTCCCCCCACTAACTGGATCAAACACAGTCCTAGAGGTACAACAGAAATGACTATTTTGTTACACATGGTTTTACAGACACAGAAACCTACATGGGGTCTCCAACAAAAAACAAAAGGGATTTAAATCCCAAGAAGCTGAAGGGGGAGGGAGGACAAAGCGTATAGGTTAAAATAGGCTGACAGTGTCTCTATGTCCTGCTGTGACAGGGAAAGGGAGGGGTACAGGCAGACAGTACATTTACAAAAGGAAGGGGGAGGGGGAGAGGCACATAGCAATACATTTCACCCCCCTTTGTTGACCCACAGCTGCATGTAAAGACACAATACTCGAAATACATAGAAATACAAGTGGGAACACCTAATACAAGGGGAAAACACACAAATATGGTAGTGGGCAGTGGGTATAGTACTCAGTGACGGCGGTCCGTCACAGCCACCATGCTTAATTTCTTTTTTTCTCATTGTTGTTTGATTGTGATCACCATGGTTACCCAGGTGTCTGTGGTTGGGGCTGGTATTACATTGCACCCTTAAGGAAAAGAAAAGTGAGTGCTGTTTCATACAATTGTTTTTTATTTACACCTACTTACTAGTGGCATAGACTAACCCTTGATAAAGGCCACTTGTGCCAAATTTTGGGTGGTGTTTCTCATGTACAGCAATTATCTGTTTCTTTTGTATATTTTTTATATTCTTTGTTATTTTCTAATTATCATTATTTTACTTGTATATTATCTAAATGAAATACCTATATTGCTAGAGCTATCTTTGTGTAAAATATATGAATTGCATATGTACTATGTGTCCATATAACCTGTACATAATTTGGTGTATATAGGTTAATTTGATATTTCATTTTTTGTCACTAAATAAAGATATTTGTTTATACATTGGATATTAGGTGTGTGGTTGATTTATATTGTAATATTTAAAGGCTCAACAACTTACCTGAGGTTTATGAGGCAGCAAATCACCATCTCTACGTGCACCAGAAGCTCTGTACATTGACAAAGCCCATTGACAAATGTTAAATCATTATCAAGTGGAAGCACCAGGGCACTCCTAGTACTATAACTACTATAACAGTATGTAGTGGTTATGGTGCTCAGAGTGTTTCATTAATCTCAATAACATGTTTAAAGGAGATTAGAAAATAAATAGCAATGTCCACTGAGAACATTTTAAAATGAATCACTACATGTATATATTGTCTGTGCTTACATTAATACGAAAAAAAAGCTTAAAACTATTTCGTGAGTGCAAAAAAAGATACACATTTGGTTTATGTGAATACATTTTTTTCTGTCTATACATATTTAAGAAGCAACAACCAGAGCAGTATGGTGGGTGGTTCACTGGCTTTGCATCTTTTCCTAAGTTGTGTTTCAAAGCTGTTGTATACAGCAAACACAGACTCAAAGGAATCCATGTTTAAAATGGAATGAGGCAAAAATGTGATTCTTTGTTGAACAAATTTGTGATTTCTGTGGGAAAAGCAAGTCTTATGGCTTGACCGGTGTGCAGATTTTTGTTTAACATTGTATTAAGTATATATACATACATTACATATATATAATCTCTCTCTCTCTCTATATATATATATATAGCTCTCTCTCTCTCTCTCTCTCTATATATATATATATATAGAGAGAGAGAGAGAGAGAGAGAGAGAGAGAGAGAGAAAGCTATATATATATATATATATATATATATTTCTACTTTTGTAACTCCTTCATGTATTACATATTAAATCCTCACATACATATACATGAGCTTACACTTCTTGACATTATGCCTCTCCATCAATTCCCAAAAGCAATAAAGTGCCACTGCTATTTTTCCTCCATTAGCAAATCTTTTAGTTTACTATACCTCCGGCCAAGAATCTAAGCTGCTAAGTAGCACATAAATTTGCATGTGATGACTGATTCTGCTAATGGGTTTGGTTCCATTGACTACACAAATCATTTCATTAGAAAATGAGTGTGTTTTGTAACCTGAACAATCCGGAAGGTAATGTGCAAAATGCTGCAATATCTATCATAGTATTAATGATTTGTATCCAATGTCCCAAAGTCCTTCTTTTAATCTCAAACACTACCAAGGAACACAATCCTAAATGCCAAATGTGTTTTGTCAGTCTAACGAGCAATAGTTCATTTTCCTTCATGGCTTTTCAATGTCGTGAAGCCTAATAATGTAATTTGAAGCAGACGTTTGTGCAATTCAGTCAAACATAGAGCATATTTAGGCTGTAGCAAGGATATTCAAAAAGATAAAACTAAATCTGAGAGAAACAACTCATCCCATTTCTCCCCAGGGTTCATTTCCTTTTTTGTTGAGTATCTGCAGAGAAAATCATCAGGAGACTTATTCAATACAAGAGTAAAAAAGCTTTAAATAAACTAGACTGTTAAGGAATGAGGTATAGCTCAAAAGTAATATAGACTACACATATTTAGTCTATATTTTTTAAAACCACATTACCACATAATTTTTTATAAATAATTATATCAGTGTTCAAACAAACACCACATAGCGCTCATTGCCTCTAAAAAGCTGTTTTGCACCATGATTTGAAAAAAGAAGTTCTGGCTACCACGTGAATTTTGGCGTGTACATTACTTTACCCCTAGATCATCACTGTTCAACATCATGATAATAGCTGATAATGCACAAATGTAAAATGATGACATATATTGTAAAGCTAATTAACAGATTTTAATTCTTCTTATATAATATGCCCTATATAATAAGGTACCAAGTAATACTAAGATAAGTGTTCCAGTGTGTTCACAATGCCAAAAGTGTTAGTCAAAGGAGAGTCCCAATGTCCAAAACAATGTCTTCTTTAAGCAGAGAGTGCAGGTTATGGCCAGTCACTCTACTCCCAATATGCCCAAGTATACAGGACCATAGAATGACCATTTCTGTTGAGAATAATGCATGCTCTTTTACATAAAGGCATAGTAAGTTGTATCAAATTGTAGTCAATGTAATTAAATATGTAAACATTTACATTTTATGAACCTCACTTATATTGTTTTTAATTTTACTGACCAGAGAAATTCTAGACATTATCCTTTCTTTGCTCATCCATCTTTTCTCTCTTTCCTGCTCAAAATACCCACATATTATATATATTTTTGAAGGACAACTAGAGAGATCATGTGATAATGCAACTAAAGGAGCCTGGGATGGATGGCCTGGGAGAGGGACCTGGGACCCCCAGATGACTGGCATCACTCCATCTTCATATGCGTCAACCACATGGAGCAGGCCTGTAAAATCCTGCTTCAGTGGTACTTTTTTTTCGGATACGACCTTTGTTGGAAGGGGTGCGGCCAGAGAGGAACATGTATACACCATTAGTGGCAAAGCCCAAAGGTACAACCACGAGGGAGAGAGGTAACAGAGCTGACCTCTGAACTCCTCCAAGCCATTGCCCCCCTAGACCCATGGATCTGGCTGCTGTCCAAGCCCTGGGAACCCATCACCAGAGCCCGAAACAAAATGATCAATAGAATAGCACTAGTGACTAGACAATCCAAAGCCGAAAACTGGGGAGCTCGAGAATTACCAACGCTCAGCACAGTCATACTTAAAACAAAAAAAGCCTTACAAATAGATAGGCTAGCAGACAAAATTTATAAACGTCCAAACACTTCTATAAGATCTGTGACCCATGGCTCCAAAACTCACGACTCGCAAGTAGCCCACAAACCATGTACAATCAAAACAGATTCCCAAGCCATTCATAAAATGACAAAGCATGACCCCTACTGATAGGAATAGTAGAGATGGAGAGAACACCAGTTACAAATAAGTTTTCATTAATTTATTTATTGTCTCGTCTTTAAAAGTTTCCTTTTTTTATTTTTTTCGTAGTACCTAAAGGCCAGGATATCCAATCAAAAACGCCCAACCCACAACATACATCACAACACTAAAAAATGCTAAGAACCTACCACATACCTGAATGTGAATGTAGACAGGACAGGACACAGAGAAAAGCAAGCTCCGATGAGCATAACAATAGGGACATGAATCAATGGACCCGACTTGACATCACAACCCAAATAGGACCCGAGTCTGTGACCCATAACACTACAAACTCCATGGTTAAGGTCAGATTGACCACACATTGAAGATGCCCTGACACATGGGAACAGGGCCAGCACTTCCTATAGGCCAATTAGGTGGACACCTAGGGCACTTGTTAAGGGGGCGCCGGGTCAAAATGTGTGCCACAGGTCATGGCACTGGGCACTAGGGTGCACTTACATATCTACAGACTAGCGCCTGGTGCCATCAACCTCAGCATGCAAAGATCAGAGAGCTGCCCCCCCCCCCCACACCTCTCATTTGCTGGCAGCGCACGGGCGCATCTTGTGATCGCTCCAGCCCCTTCCCCTGTACTCGAGGGCAAGTGGGCGGGAAGAAAGTGAGGGGCGGAGCTGAGAGGGAGTCAAAGAAGCCACACGCAGTCTTCAATCCTGTGGCCCACGGAGAGCTAACATCAAATGAAGGCAAGAGGGGGACTTAATAGTGTGTGTATGTCTGATTGGATCAGTGTGTGTGTGTCTTATTGGATCACTGTGTGTGTGTGTGTGTCTGCTTGGGCCAGTGTGTGTGTCTGCTTCAGTCACTGCATTGTGTGTGCATTGGTCACTGATTGTGATTGTGTGGACCATTGAGTGTGATTGAGTGTGTTATAGGCAAATGCAAATATTGTATTCCTTAAACTGTGTACTTTGACTTTAAGAGATATTGCAAACTGACAAGGTGTTAGAAATGGAACACATTGTTTTTCATACAGCTAATTTGGGGGTGGTTGGGCGCACTGAATTCCCAAAGTAACCATGCTGAGGTTAAATGACTATTAACCAAGTTACTTGTTGCTTTCCCCCACACAGTGGTATCTACTTATTCCTGTGATACAGATAGCATTAACAACATACCTGATGATACAAATGGTGAGACACCATATGATATGTTACACATTTTTCACTGACAATATATTTTGGCACCAGGGAGAGCTTAGAACCATTGGTTCCATCAGAGAAATTTAGGGAATTTTTTTTTTGCAGCCCACCTCACCATGCACCACCCCCTATTTCCTACTGTTGGACAGTTTGTCCTAGAGAGGGTGACTCCAAGAACTTTTACTACAGAGAACAATCAGAGCCAACAGAGAACAGCAAGTTTTGATATTTTACAACCTGCTAAATACTTCCAAGATGTTCACAGAACCACTGACTGACTGAATGGATGCTGTTAAAGAAGGCAAGATAAAACAAACAGAGGAACCATAGCCAACTAACAGACTGAATCATGATCTAACATCTGAACCTGCAAATGCGAAGGAGAAGGGTGAACAGACATCCGTGATACATTCACAGTTAACATGGAATATATGAAAAATGAAGCATCAACATCATTATCAGAAAGACTCTGGAGAAAACAGACTGTACCTGATTTATCTTATACAGTCAGAAAGAAATGCAAAGATGGAAGCAAAAGGATGCTAGAAAATTGGTTATGCTGTCTCCTTCTTACAATCTGCAGCATTATCATATCATTAACCCTAGCTGTCATTTTAAAACTGCATCGGTATTATGTTAACACAAGAAGCACCTGAACTGAATTAGACTGCACATAATACATGTTCTATGATCGTGAGGACAACCTCCAAGAACCATCTCAAAAGGAGAGACACAGCTCACAGTGAAATGATTGCTAATGTGACCTACACTGGTATTTCACAAGGAACCTATTGAAGATCATTCCAAAAACTGATTATACATGAGAAAGATGTGATTGGACTATTTCAAATCATAATTATGGACTCAACAATGATGGCAAAGCATGCTGGAATCAGAAAAAAAGACAGGACAGATGCTTGTGAAAGACTTTGGATGCACCTATGAAGGTGATGCAAGAAAAGACTTTGCCATATAGTTTATCATTGAATAACTAACAGCCTTCTTATGCTGAAAAGAAGTGCTATGCTAATTCTGGACATTGCTATTATGTTTCCAGACAGAAGATAACCAGGAAAAAAAAAAAAACTAAAGGTTCATAACTGTCAACACCCAGCTATTTCTCAAGATTGAACATAGTACTGAGAATACCTGATTGACTGTAAAGGTATGCAACTTGATTCCAAGGGTCAAGTTTGTAGGCCCCATAAGTGTTGTCCTATATTAAAATTGGCTAACTTGGAATAATGGATTACCCTGTGCTTAAAGTGAATTAGAGCTTAGAGTGAAAAACCATACTGGAACCATATTCTGTAATAATGAACTGTGCAATCACATTTGGTGGCATGTGAATTTGAATTCGGAAGAAACACTTTAACGAAAGAAACCTTGATGCAATTAATAAATAACAACAAGACAGGCCTACTAAGAGAAGACATCCTGCCAAGATAATGGAATAAAGAAAGCCAGGAAAACCTTTCAGAAACTTGACATCATGGGACACTTGTACTAAGCACGATTTGCAGCTTTTCTTAAACTCTACATGTACATACCTGCAAAGCAAGGAACTTCTGTAAACATAAACACAGAGACATTGATACAACAAGCAATCTAATGGTTCTATTGCAGATGGGATCTACCAATGTACTCCTTGTTCTTTTGGTAAAACTATACCAATCAAACATTAAATGGCTCCCGAGAACAATAAACAAAGGATTC